TTTTATTTTTATTTTCCACCTTAAATGACTGCTTCTCATGCCTACTCTTCAACTCCCATTAAGTTTCTTTTTTACTCTTTTTCTCAACAGCGGAATTGTCTTTGGAGTTTCCAGTTGGTTTCACTGCCGTTACTTACCGTATATCAATATATAATGTTCTGCAGGTAAAAGAGTTGATGTTGGGTCTTTAATGAGCAAGGCTTCTATTCCTCCATTACCTCCTGGAAGCAGCCTATACATGCAAGAGGTGCATGCCAAGGTTTTGACTTCTGTCTTCCTCGGTACTGTTGTTAATATGAGTAGCTGGTCATCTCATTTCTGCAGCTGAATACGTCTTTACTTTTCATCCTTTAGTATCAACTTTTGGATTGTCTATTAAAATTCAGTGGTCTTTTTAGAAAAGGGATGAGTCATTTTGCACTTGGTATTTTCATTGGCCTGTTGCTTCAGTGGGTTTTAGAATACCAATGATATAGATACTAATATTTTGACTCTAACAAATTCCTATGCTCATGTTGCCAGCTTGGGGAAGAATTTCTCTTCACTTTTGGAGGCCAACATACTCCTTTTGGTGCATCACCTCAGGTAAATCTAAAATTGATTTAATGAGATATATCTTTCTTCTCTTTTTTATCCAAAAAAGTTTAGGAGCAAGAGTGGTTACTCTATCTCCAAGGCCAGTGCAACCCGCCAACCCATATTGGGATTTAGGGACCCATTGAACTTTCACCCGCGAGCTTTTTGGACTTTCAAATCGCCTCCCAATGGTTGTCAGTGGTCAGTGGGATTTGAACCTAGGTGGGGTGCATGAAGAGTAAGAATCTTTATTTTCTTTTCTCTCCTCTGGCATTGAGCGTCCTATGTCATCTCATGGAATCCATCAAAGCCGGTACCAATGATGCAAGAGCACTTTGAAATGGACTATGGTGTCTTTATGCTGGTTATGCACAACAGCTTTCACCCAAGGGTGTTTGTTGCATTGAACATTACACCTAATAGTTAGGCATTATATTTTATTTTTCTTCTTTGCATTCAGTTGTTGGGTGAAAAGGTTTTGTATGGCACAGTATTTTATGCCTTAATTGTTTGCATATTTTCCATCCTTCCTGGCAACAATTGATTTTGTTTCCATCTTGACCAAATGGTTATTCATTCTGCTTCAGATCCTTGTCCTTGGAGTGCCGGTTATACTTACAATTATTTTGGTCATGGTTTGGACATCTTATTTGATGGCCTGGTATGAAAATAGATTCTACCCCCAACGCCCAAAAATTAAAGACAACGGTTTAACAGGCATTTAGATACATTTTTGTTCCTATTGTGTTAATTTTATCTTAAAATCACTCTACTCTTAGAATGGCTATTAACAGGTTATGAAGAATGTATATATTGCAACAGTAACACACTTTTATGTACACCAAGTTTCTGTTTTAGGTAAGACATAGTTGTGTGGTTTCTTGATTATATGGAAGCAAAGTTGTATTGTTGAGAAGGCAAATAAGCCAAAAACTGGCATGGATAACAGACACAAATTTCAACTATTCCATCTCCCTAATTTAAAGAAGATTCCAACACACTGGGGTGAGGTGGCATCCGAAGGCAGCAAGCAATCAATGACCCTTTTGTTCTCAGCTATTATCATGTGTTGGACTCAATGTCTTGCCAGTGAGTTTCCACAGTAGCAAGTATCAATCTCTGCATGCTATTGTTTAGTAAAATGGAGTATAAAACTCTTTGTAGTGCATTATCTTAGCAGCTAATTGATCCATTGGGATGATAATCACATCATGCCGCAGGCCCGCAAGGATCTTTTCCCATCGATGCGTTGACGACCTAATAAGAGCCAAAATATAAGCCCCAGCAACCACAAAATCTATCCAAAATATTATTAAAATAAAAAACTTCCGTTGCCGGGACTTGAACCCGGGTCTCTCGGGTGAGAGCCGAGTATCCTAACCAACTAGACTACAACGGATTGGTGACTCTGGCAATCTCTTAAAGATTGATTTAAAATAGATTGACGATGTTCCGAAGAGCAAAATACGTAGCATATGCATATGTGGAGCATGGGGCTGAGGGTTCTCAGCACCAAAATTCGGCCCCATACCAGATGAGGGCCGAGCTCTGATATAGGAAGGAAAAACATATATAGTTGAGAATGAGAAAACAGAACTTGCAAAGATTGCCATTTTTGAGAAAGAAAGAAATTGCCATAGATGACAACTAGCCATAAGCCCAGCTTATTTATTAGTGCATTAGGCTCATGTCCGCATGTGTATTAGACTGGAATACCAAACACGGATACGTTACAGTGTCTGGCTTAAAGTTGATAGCAGATCAACTTGTTTCTCAAGAAAAATGTAGTTAGCATGTATTATTGAAAAATGATAAATATATATATATTGAAGAGGCATTTCCGGCTTTGATCACCATTTCTCCCTTCGGTGTAGACGACAATATTGGTCGATTTCAAAAGAAATATGTAAGTTAAATCATGGGTAGGAAATGACGACTTGGATTGTCATTATAGCAATAATCTTATTTTCCTAGTCTGGCTTATTTTGCATAGATGAGTTTAACAAATTTGCCAAGTGTAGAGTAGATATATCATAAAATGTACTAATAGTGCTGGATTTGAGTAGATCCTGGGTCCAGAAACACAGACAAGTAGCAATGCCAGACTCCAGCCATAGCTCTCAGCACCAGGGTGGACCATAGATAAAATATGAGCCAGCTGGAGCCTAAAATATCCCCTGCGCTGTATTATTTGTTTCTGGGGACCACCCAGAATCTAATAATCTTTACCTCTGAGCCACATACTTGTATAAAAGATATTTCTCTCTCTCACTCTAAAATCTACTACTCGTACAACTTGAGCATTAGAGAGCATGCTGAAGTCTCAACACTTACTTCATAAAAGTACAATATTTCCGTTGCCGGGACTTGGACCCGGGTCTCTCGGGTGAGAGCCAAGTATCCTAATCAACTAGACTACAATGGATTTTTGATAAATAAAGAATATTTATAGATTTGGATTTGTATTTTCAGTCGTCTACAGAAAGGTATCTCTCATTCACATTTATCTTTCACTAAAATTTTCATGCTTGATTTCGGCTTTAAAACAATGCTCCCTCCCTGTAATGAATTTCTTAATTTATGCTGCAAAGTTAACCGCTTTCTACCTATGGTTAATTGGTGAAGATCAAATAATCATCTTTATAGGGATTTTAGCCAATGTGCTGCTGAGTTAATAATGGGTTATTCCTCCACTTGCCCGTTTTTCTTGTATATTCGTAAGGTTTTCTCAGGCTGCCCTTTTAATTGGATGATAAGAAAATGTAATGAAATGTTGCCTTTAGATGGTTTCAAGGAGTATGAATCCATTGTAGATTCAAGGTCGGCCCTTTTTTACTGCCTTTTCAGGATCAGCTGTCTTCCTTAGAATTAGTATTTGGGATTGGTATAAAGGATTAGGAATAAACGGAGAGGCTTCTGAATCTGAAGCACATAACTTCCTAATTCCTAAATATGCCAAGTGCCAATACAATCGAAGCACAGAATAACTATGCAGGAATTATATGAAAGCAAGAGAAAGGTCAAGGGTGTCAAAAAATCCTAGGTCGTGCATGCCTTCACAACAAGGTTCCAAACACCCATCACTAACTTCATTGTAAAAACATCCATAGCATTTTATTCATAACTGAAGAGGGCTCAACACTTTTAAGTACCTAACTCATTGTTAGCTACTTCATACATGATCGGTTGAAGAGAAAAAAACCGACCTTTGCTTTATGGGTATGTTTTGTGAAGATACAAAAAAAGTTGTGGATACATTTGGTTGTTGTCTGTCCGGTAAAAGTAGATCAAAGAATGTTTATGTTTGGTAGGTTGTTCGAACCAAATCCATAGAAGAAATGTTTATAAGTTTATCGCTGCGCGAATTTAAAAAATGCATATATGAATAGCAGCAAAACAATTTCCGTTGCCGAGACTTGAACCCGGGTCCCTCGGGTGAGAGCCGAGAATCCTAACCAACTAGACTACAGCGGATTATTGACCCGATTCTATTTTTATTTATTATATAGTTAAATTTTATATGTAGGTGTATTTAATTATTTACAGTGAAAGTCGTTTTAACCAGATTGTTTTAGGCCTGAACACATGAATTCCATGAGGCTTCAAATTCAAATCTATCATTTCAGCAATCCATATTGTGATTTTCCATCAGCATTACCATCCATCCCTTCAACCGGATCTACCTTGTGATTTTGTTGCTTCATCTCCCACTGTTTTAGTTGTCTAGTTTTGGCCTCATTGGGATCCACCTATTGTGTAGCTTCTCCTCTATGTTACCTGGTTTATCCTCTGGAAACTTGTTAAAGAAACAAAACAACAAAATTCCATGAGCAAACTCTAGGTGGAAGAAATAAGTCAGTATCTTCAAAAATATATGAGACAAACCTCAACTCTCTTTCTTCCGTGGGTTCTTTTACCTCCAACATGTACAACCATTATTAGATTTCAAAGGGAACTTCCATCAATCTCACAGTAAAAGAAAGCTACATACACACATTTCATTACATGGACATAAGTTTAACAAACAATATAGCCCTTGTAATGAAAAGCAAAAAATATAAGACACCTGCAATCCATAACCAAGTGCATTTTCACATATGTCACAACTGGGAATATCACTTGGATTTGCCAGTCCAACCCGAATATGCCGGCTACCATGCTTATTGTTGCACATCAAAAACTCAAAGCAAGGTTTCAATCTACAACAACGGAACAATCCTTATCCTAAGACATGACATCAAACGAAAGAGATGGAAGGTGGGTCTTGATCTGTCAACTTTTGGTTTGATTCGATTTACTATTTCTGTCTTGATGGAAATGTGTATGTAGTTTTTCAAAAACAGTGTTGGATTTTGGGGTTTGGGGTTGAGAACCTCACTTGCTGCATCTAGAAGAATATATATTTAAACAGGCAGTCACAAATCTTCAGACAATGAAAAATGTTAAAACTCACATTTCACAAACAACACTGGTAACTCTCACCCTTTTACAGATCATTTCTTTTATATTTTTGATCTGTAACAGAGGCCATATTTCCAATTTAATACAATCAGAAACCTTATATATGCTTACAGTTTATATAAAATTCAGATTACAACTTCTTCATGGAACCAAGACACACCAGATCATTATAAGACCTGTAAAAACAATTGCGGCAAACAATGGCAAAAAAGAAAGTGAAATTGTTGACATTCTTTTGTGTATTTTTGTTGAGCAACTTCAAAATGAAATATTCAACATCTCCATGCTCAAGCTCTCCATCATGGCATTTTCCATGAATCCGCATTTAGCCCTGTTAAAACTGCTGAGTCTCGGCTTGAATGAGCAAGAAGAGAGTGGAAGGATTGGGATGTTCTCACAGTTGCAGAGCTCGACCATGTATCCGTCCGGGTCATGGAAGAACACTTGATCGACCCTATTCCCTTCATCTTCAACCACTGCCGTCACATACTTCATCCCCATGTTTTCGAGCCTCCTCTTCACGAGCCCCACATCCCTACACTGTTACACCGCAAACGGCTTCAACAAAAACATTTTCAAAACCAGTGATACAAACTAAAGTTTCAGGCCCAGTTTTCTGAATTATACCTGGAATGATATGTGGTTATCCTTGGGATTGATTGTTCGCGGTTCAACGATAGCCTCAAAATCATCGATAGATGGATTCTCAATCAAGTGTATACCAATGCAGTAGTTATACAACCTGCATATTTGAGACAGTGGAACATTTAATGTCGTTTCATGTAAAACTTAAAGGGAGGGGCGGTAAGCATACCAAGCTCCATTGAAGCTGAAAGAAGAGGGGCGTTTGATGGGAACAAAACCTAACACTTGTTCATAGAACCTCATAGAATCCCAAACTGATCTACACAACAATGACACGTGATTCAATGAAAGAAGAGGCAATGCCTCATAGTTGCTTATTTCCTCAATCTCCATCATCATTTTACTCTTTACACTAATTTTCTTTCGCTTCTTGCTTGCTTGCTCACTTGTTTGAACACTTTGAATGACCAGGTTACTGCCTTGTGGTCCTTTTATAAACCAAATGTTTGTGGATTCAAATTCAAGTGATTATCAGGAACTTTCCTAGCAAATTCTCTGTACATAAAAGAAATTGCCATGAAGAAACATTGAAAGTGCTTTACTTAAATATCATTGAACATTACTATTTAATTATACTATTGGCTCCAAATTTAGGCAATTAAGCTTTTAATTTAAAGTTTATTACAAGTATAAATTCTCGGTACAATCATAATCATATAGAAAAATAACTAGTATAAATATTATTTAAGTACGGGTGTGAGTGTTTGATACAAGTATATGTCTAATACGAATATATTTATTTTTACAAGATCTTAATGTCCTTGGAAAACCATTGGACAAACATATCCCATACACATTTTCACTCAAGTTTGAGTGTTTATTTTTCAATTAGCTAGTTACTATTTTTAGCACACGGTTTCTACACTGTTCGTTCATCTAGATAGGTAGAAATGAAGTGCAAACAAATAAACAAAGCTGTCTGGTTTAGCTTCTTGTCTAAATCCTTTTGAGTTATAGGTTAATGCTGAAGATGTTGATAAAGTAAGCAGTTAAACACCAAGCCCTTGGAGGTATCCCAAGGACAGAAAAGTAGAAGGTTCCGAAAATGTGGGAAATTTCTTTGATGTTTCCTCAATCGAAATATATGAGAATAAACGTTTAGCCAGCCAACTAAAATTATGTAATTCAAATGAAAATAAGCAAATAAAATTATGACATTTCATGCAACAGAAAGACTCTTCACATAGATGATCATGCATAGACTAGTTATAGACATTAAGTTTTCACTGAATTTTCTAAATACAATCCAAAATATCTTCTTCTTTTTTTTAAAAAAAAAAAAAAAAGTGATAACATTCTTACATCAGATCAATAGCCCTAAGGACCTTGTGGTGGTGGTGGTGGTGGTTGGAATTGTTGAATGCCATGCGACAAGTTTGACAATGCTGACAGAAAGGATGAAAGACGAGCATTGGCATTTTGTTCATCCTAATCACGTTGAAGCCACCAAGCCCTGAAATCTTGATCTAAATTCAAAAACGTCTCTCGTTTTACCAGAACTTGGAATATTTGGGTGGCAAAGAAATACAAAATGTTTTTTTGGAATTTCATTTTTCCAAAGCTCGCAACGCATCCATTGCATCTGAAATGGTATACTGAGAATGAGGAGAAACAACTTCGTTCACCGACTTCCTTTGATTAGACATACTCTGACATAACTTCTCAATCTGAGTAACCAATGTCTTTCCTGCTGATCTTCTAATCGGAATTGATTTTTTACCTTTATCTTGTACAACCCCAAGCATTCGCTTGCCGCGACTAGAAGTTTCAAGAGAAGGGTCTAAGGCTACCTCAAGATTAGGAATATCCTCATTCTTGGTACCATGCTCATTCGTATCACCAGATCCCTCAACAGGTTTAGCATTTTCCGTAGAAACTCCATTTGGAACAACACCAGACGAAACTGCCCATGCAGGCTCTCCAGTGGCTACAACGTCACCGAACATTTTCCACAATAACTCATTCAACCGTGGTTCAATTCCTTTCTTTTTAAATCCTTTGAAATCAGGATTTTCCTGCATAATTGTATAATATTAAACATTATACTGAAGTTTTCATAATAATGTAAACTACTAATTCAATGAATTCAACACATTTACATATTGTTACATGCAATACTAAACTGTAACTTTTCAGCCCACCATTCTTCGTTGGCATTGACAGTCTTTTTAAATAGACACCATTCAAGACCAGGAGAGTTCTTAAGTAACACATTCCATAACCTCCATTCTTTTTTTAATGTATCCCACTTATTTTTCAATTGTGGTTTTCCATAATTCTTCTGTGTTCTTGCTTTCGACATTTTCCCAACCTGTTGTGCTCAGATGAGTTGTTGGTCTATTACCAGCATCAACTTCTTTTACTCAAATTTCACAAAATGTCATTGCGAGCTCGTCATCCCAAGTCGCTTTCGATGCTGAGATACTATCACTCTCCACAAAATTACTTGACTTCACCATCTATAGTTTCAATTTGAAATGTCAGCCAGAATGAAAAAAAAATCTAAATAGAAGATTCAAGCCTATACTTAAATTCCTGGCAATTATAATTATTTCACTTGTATAGCATTTTTGTGAAAATAATTAAATTAAGGCTTTTTGTAGTGATCCAAAATCAAGTGCCACAAAACGAATGGAACTCATATTTGTTTATTCTCACAGTAGATTAGCAGAAACACATAAAATAACTCATCGTGATAATTAAAGACACTTCAACAAAGAACCATCTAGAAACATGAAAAGACAAAGCTAAGGCCTAGGCATAATTAAAGACCCCAATTGAATTCACATATCTTGCACACTGAAGGCAATGAATGCAACCTTTAAAGATAACTTTCTATGGAATCCGAGAGGAAACTTTTTCACCAAAACTGAAGTTTTAGCTCAAAAACAACTAACAAATAGACCCACAAATAAAACCATATCATAACACTCATCACCAGATTAAGTTTCATCAATTCCCACAATGAATTATTCTCATGTTTCAAGTTAGACTTGACTAGTATTAGGATGAAGTCGACATTCAAAGCTTTGTGTGCTTTAATCCTAAGCAGTGAACGAATGGAAATTTAGAAATCTCAGGACAGAAACAAAACAAAGAATAAACAAAATCAGTGGAATTTAAAGTTGTCAATTTTAAAAGTCACTTTTGTAACTACGTCAATTCTTGTCGAACCAATAAAGAACAAGGCACTAGAATCCAAACTTTCGCTGAATAAAAAGCAAGTTAAATTTTCGAAGCACGGGCAACAATGAGATAGTAAGTCCAGTTCCTTTCAACAATTTTCTAAAAATAAAAAGAAATAAATCATCAGAAAACAAAAGAAAAATAAACATCAAACATTGTAAAAAAAAGAAAAACAAATATCAAACATTGTAAAAACTAACCTTTAGCAGCCAACAAGTGGCAGCAGCAATTTGATAGCAAACCAGAAACAGCTAGGTTTCCAAATCTGGGAAGAATATAAAGTTTTGCATCTGGTTTAAATTTCTTCTCTGTTTTAGAATTCTTAGCAGATTAGGAGAGAGGTGGCGATAGGCCTTGATCGGAGCTAAAGAAGAGGTGATTGTTGACGAAGTGAAATGGGTTACAGTTTAGGGATGAATTTGAGGCTGTTAAAAGATAAATAGTTTTTCTGTACTTTCATCATTTTTTTTTTCTTACTCATCGGAAAATAGTTATTTTCCCGTTTCACTATATTTCTATAGTGTAAATCATCCCATTAATCACTAAGCTTTAATTTATATAGAGAAAATCGCCTCAGTGACCAAAAATACCTTATAATATACGATTTTAACCAACTTTTTTTAGATTTGCCAAAATGACCAATAAAATCGCAACGCGATATCAAAATCGCAACGCGATTTAGAAAATCGCAACGTTAAAAAGAAAATCGCAACGGTCAAAAGAAAATTGCAACGCGAGCTTCCAAGTTCGCAACGCGATTTAGAAGAAAATCGCAATGCGATTGATAGAATCGCAATGCGATTGATAGAATCGCAATGCGATTTATAGAATCGCAATGCGATTGAGAGAGTCGCAACGCGATCTAGAAGAAAATCGCAATGCGACTGAGAGAATCGCAATGCGATTTATAGAATCGCAATGCGATTGAGAGAGTCGCAACGCGATCTAGAAGAAAATCGCAATGCGACTGAGAGAATCGCAATGCGACTGAGAGAATCGCAACGCTAAAAAGAAAATCGCAACGGTCAAAAGAATAGTTAAAAAAATTTTGTTTCTTAAGAATTTTCTCTAAAAAGATAGTATCCGCGCGGACGTGTCGAAGACACGTATGACCACGACCACGACCACGACCACGACCACGACCACGACCACGACCACGACCACGACCACGACCCGAGACGAGACGGCGGCGGCGGCGGCGCGCGAGAGTCCCCCTTGTCCTCTTTCACTCAACAAGGAAGTGCAAAATACAAGCCTTAAATACCATTCCCAATAGTATTTCCAATACTATGTGGGATTGAGCATTACCAACACTTGTTCCAAATATCATTATTCTTCATAAGTTATCATCCATTACAATATGAATTAGTCGTGTTAATGAACCAATATACCTCATTAATATATGGTATTGTTGAACAAAAGAATGATGATGATGATCTTATTAAAGATCATCTAATACGAAAGAATCCAATGCATAACCGATACCTTATTGTGAAACTAATTCACATAGAGGTTGTACGTGAAAAAAAAATCTTTTACTTTTATAGTAAATATCTATCTCAATAATTTTAATATAAAAAATATATTTTTTATTTAATAATAGAATTATTTCATGTATTTATCAAGTTATAATTTTAAATACTTATTAAAATGAATTAATTTATTATCGATAATTCATATTGTAATGGATGATAACTTTTGAAGAATAATGATATTGGGAACAAGTGTTGGTAATGCTCAATCCCACATAGTATTGGAAACACTATTGGGAATTATATTTAAGGCTTGTATTTTGCACTTCCTTGTTGAGTGAAAGAGGACAAGGGGGACTCTCGCGCGCCGCCGCCGCCGTCTCGTCTCGGGTCGGGTCGTGGTCGTGGTCGTGGTCGTGGTCGTGGTCGTGGTCGTGGTCGTGGTCGTGGTCGTGGTCGTGGTCGTGGTCGTGGTCGTGGTCGTGGTCGTGGTCGTGGTCGTGGTCGTGGTCGTGGTCGTGGTCGTGGTCGTGGTCGTGGTAATACGTGTCTTCGACACGTCCGCGCGGATACTATCTTTTTAGAGAAAATTCTTAAGAAACAAAATTTTTTTTAACTATTCTATCAATCGCATTGCGATTTTCTTCTAAATCGCGTTGCGAACTTGGAAGCTCGCGTTGCGATTTTCTTTTGACCGTTGCGATTTTCTTTTTAACGTTGCGATTTTCTAAATCGCGTTGCGATTTTCTAAATCGCGTTGCGATTTTTATATCGCGTTGCGATTTTATTGGTCATTTTGGCAAATCCAAAAAAAATTGGTTAAAATCGTATATTATAAGGTATTTTTGGTCACTGAGGCGATTTTCTCATTTATATATTAATTCACTAGATTTTAATTTATATACGATTTTATTACCAAATTTTAGAATACTTTAACTTTAGTATTATAATTTTATATTGTTTTTATCATCAAATCATTACATCATTAATATCATGATAGTGTGACATTTTTTTAAAAAGCACTACTAAGGGGCTGTTTGTTTACCTCTTAATGGAAGCATTCAACGTTGAATGTTGAATCGTTCAGCACGTTTATTTCGCACCTCTGAATGATTCAGTGTTGACTGATTAAACAAAACATTCAGCATTTGAATCGTTTAACACTTAATCATTATGAAGTAAACAAACAACCCCTAACTCTTTTTTACTATCATTACCAATTAATCATCATTCATCATCAATAGTCATTTGTGATATGATTGATAATAAAATATTTATATTTACATTAATAATTTATTTAAAACTTACTAAAAATCAATAAAAATTTCATTCAAATATTCAATGTTTTAAATTTTGATTTTAATTTATGGTTAGAGGATGAAACTAATTTTTAAGTATATTATATATCTTTTCAAAAAAATAATTATATCATTCTAATTATTGAATAAACATTATAAATCTCTAAAATCTGAGAAAATTATAAACCTCCCCCAAAAATTATGAACTTTTATATATAGTTTCATAAGTTTTAAGAGGATTTTAAAATTAACATAATCTAACAGAAAACAATTAAAAACATATAATTAAATCTTAAATAAATTGAAAGAGATGAATAATTCTCATTGTTTTTTAGATTCATGTGCTCAATTTAATTAATAAGATTATTGATTCACATTTTTTTTCATCAAGAACGTTAAATCGATAAGAATGACACCTTGCTCTTCTTCTTGTGGTGCTGGGGCTTTAATTCATAAACTTTTTAACAAGAATAACAAAGATTTTTAACAAGATCATTAAACATTTATTTTCATCAAAATAAATTTACACCTAAAACGCATCTAATACATCACTACTACCCATTAGGGGTGTATGAATTCAAATATCATATCAGATCCGCTCCCAAAATTCAAAATATCCGAAAATTTTGAATACCTAAAGTAGTAATTCATATTCGATCTGAAAGAATCGAATATCCAAAATTTTGAATTGGTTATTTGAATATCAAATCCAAATATAAAATTTAATTCGACAAAAAAATTAGTTTTAAAAATTTTCAGTTAACTTATTTGAAACCTCTACTATATTTTTTTTATATTCAATCACTCACACAATAAATAATTAAATATCCTAATTTTTATTATTTAAAAATTTTAATGGGTTAGTGGATTACTCATTTATTGAGCTAAAGAATATCTAATTTTTAAAAACACAATTTTCTTCAGATAATCTGAAATTGAAATTTATCCAATCCGTATCCAACATTTTTTTGGATATCCAATCCGAATCATCAAAAAATCATAGATCAGATTGGTCGGTTCAGATCTTTTTGCACACCCCTACTACTCATGAAACGATCATGAAGA